CTCTCTTCCCCCTCTCTCTCTCTCTTCTCTCTCTCTCTCTCTCTCCCTCCTTGTGTCTCTCTCCCTCTCTGCCCGCCCTTCCTTATTTCTTCTCCCTCCCCCTCCCCAACCCCCCACCCCGCCATCGTATTTATCACCCCTGCCATCGTCTCCAGTCGTAGCGGGAGGTCCCGCGGCAGAAAAACACCCAGAACGAACCCCTCCGTGACAGAGGGGGGCCATTTCAGCGCCCCTCTGTGACAGAGGGGGGTCGGAAAAACCAATGATCACCTAATTCCGGCTTTTGGATTATTCGTTTTGAATAGAACACTGTCCGCGCGTCCTCCTGCTCTGGCCCCCTCCTCCTCTCATCATGTCTCCTGCCTCTCAACTTGTTCCTTCCTGCGTGCCAGCTTGCTTCTTCCCTGGTCATCCCTGGGCGGCTGCGATCTGCGGAACTTTCACCAGTTTCGACGGCTGTTGGGGGGTCCAGCGGAGTGACGACTTACCCCGACTCAAAGGAGACCTCGCCATCTTTTGGGGGCTGCGATCTGCGAGACCGTCGCCACTTTCGAGGGCTGCTGGGGGGTCCAGCGGAGTGACGTCTTTCGCGGACCACCAGGAAACCTCGCCGTCCCTGGGGGATGCGATCTGCGAAGCTGTCGCCACTTTCGAGGGCTGCTGGCTCGTCTAGCGGAATGGCGTCTTATCCAAATCACCAGGAGACCTCGCCATCCCTGTGGGGCTGAGATTTGCGAAACGGTCGCCAATTTTGAGGGCTGCTGGGGTGTCCAGCGGAGTGACGCATTACCCAAACTCAAATGAGACCTCGCCAACCCTGGGGGGTTGAGATTTGCGAAACGGTCGCCACTTTAGAGGGCTGCTGGAGGGTCCAACGGAGTGGCGTCTTATTCAGACCACCAGGAGACCTCGCCATCCCTGTGAGGATGCGATGTGCGGAGCCGTCGCCAGTTTCGAGAGCTGCCAGGGGGTTTGGCGGAGTGACGTTTTACCCAGGCTCAAATGAGACCTCGCCATCCCGGGGGGGCCGCGATCTGCGTCAATGTCGCCGCTTCAGGGGGCTGCTCGGGGGTCCAGCAGAGTGACGTCTTACCCAGATTCAGATGGGGCCTCGCCGTCCCTGGGGGATGCGATCTGTGAAGCTGCCGCCACTTTCCAGGGCTGCCGCGGGGTCCAGCGGAGCGAGGTCCTACGCAGACCACCAGGAGACCTCGCCATCCCCGTCGGGGTGCGACCAGCGAAGCTGTCGACACTTCGGGGGGCTGTTGGGGGGTGCGGCGGAGTGACGTCTTGCGAGGACCACCGGGATACCTCGCCATCCCTGTGGGGCTGCGGCGTGTGAAGCTGTCGCCTATTTCGAGAGCTGCTGGGGGGTCCAGCGGAGCGACGTCTTACCCCGACTCAAAGGAGACCTCGCCATCCCCGTCGGGCTGCAATCTGCGAAACTGTCGCCACTTTCGAGAACTGCTGGGGGGTCCAGCGGAGGGACTTCTTACCCAGATTCAAATGAGACCTTGCCATCCCTCGAAGGGCTGCCATCTGCGACAACGTTGCCACTTTCGAGGGCTGCCGCGGGGTCCAGCGGAGTGACGTTTTATCCAGATCAGATGAGACCTCGCCATCCACAGGGGTTTCGATCTGCGAAACGGTCGCCACTTTCGAGAGCTGCTGTGGGGTCCAGCGGAGTGACGTCTTTCGCGGACCACCAGGAAACCTCGCGATGCCTTGTGGGTTGCGATATGCGAAACGGTCGCCACTTTCGAGGGCGGCTGGGGGGTCCAGTGGAGCGACGTCTGAGAACACCAGGAGACCTCGCCATCCCTGGGGTCCAGCGGCGTGACGCCTTTTCTGTTACGTGGGGATTGTTTTGAGTTCCGGGGTCGTCAGAGTCCTAGCAGGGGTGCAGGGATAGATGTTGAGGGGTCCAGAGGCGTCGGAGGGGGTAAGGCGGAGGAAGGAGGAGGAGGAGGAGGAGGAGGAGGGGGACTTAGGAGTAGATGGTTGACTTTGTTTGGGAGGAGAGGAGGTGGAGTGGGGGATGAGGAGGAGGAGGAGGAGTAAGGGGAAGACGAAATGGAGGAGGAGGAGGAGGAGGAGGAGGAGGAGGAGGAGGAGGAGGAGGAGGGAGGAGGAACCAGGGGAGGATGTCGGGCACTTGCTGCCGCGGCAGCGCCAGCACAGGTCTTATTCTAACCATTCGCAGGTTGAATCATTTTTTCGAGCGCCGCGGCGACATGGTGCAGGCAGCGCTGCATTTTGGGTGTACTACCGGCAAAACAACACTCTTCGGTCTCATCCCGTCACTGTCGTCGTCGTCCTCCTCTGCTGCTGCCGCGCTGACGGTTCAGCCCCCACGCGTCCTTCTCCTGCCCTTCGTTCCTGCCCCCATGTCCTCCTCAAGCCTGGGCCCTCGCTCCTCGTCCTTGTGTTGTTGTCTTGTGAATCGCGCCACGTGAGCACATCCCATGTAGCTTGCACCCCCATGTCCTCCTCAAGCCTGGGCCCTCGCTCCTCGTCCTTGTGTTGTTGTCTTGTGAATCGCGCCACGTGAGCACATCCCATGTAGCTTGCACAACATATATTGGAACCTGCGCTGTCATTCTCTTGGCAAGTTTGGGCCAACTTCTCTTGCCACTTGATGCGAATGGGTTGGTACGTCGCAGGGTGACGGGCACGCGTGGGGAAACGAATGAGAAGCCACTTGAACGGACGGACGGCATCTGTCAAAACACCCGACGAATGATTATCGAATGGCCCTCGGCACATCCCGCCACCGTGCCTGGACTGCGGGTCTGAGACCGCTCGGAAGACTGATGGGGTCTCGTGGGAGGCGTCTCGGGGGCGTCTTGGTGGCAGATTGTGAACCTCTTGGGGGCCTCCTCGGGGCCTCCTGGGGGCTTTTTGCGGCCATCTTGGGGCTCCCTGAGGGCCTGTTGGGGGCTCCTGTGGGCAACCCGTAGGCGTCTTGGGGTGGATGACTCGAAATGTCCCTTCGGGTTCCCCCCTCCGAGCCCCTCTTGGGGCTGTCTTGGGGCTCTCTGGGACCGTCTGGAGGGCATCTTGGGCCGTCTTGGGACCCTCTTGGGTTTTCTTGGAGCCCTCTTGGGGGCCTCGTGGCCCGTCTTGGGGCGAATTTGAAAGCCTCTTGGGCCGTCTGGGACGTTGTGAGCGCCCAAGAGGCGAATCCGCAAGACATGCACGTTTTCCAGAAAGGTAATGGGTGATTTTTGCTTTGGGGGGCCCTCTTGGGACGCCTCTTTGGGGCTTCTTGGGGCGTCTTGAGGGCCTTCTGGGCTTCCTGGAGGCCAGCATCGGCGTTTTGGATCGACCTTTCAGCGACTCGTGGCCCTCGCGGGCCGCCCCGACGGCCTCTCCTCTTGGGGCCCTCTTGATTTGTTGTAGGGCCCCCTGCCCCCCCCCCCCCCCCGGGTGCGTTCACCCACATCCCGGGGGGCCCCCCCCTCCGAATCGAGCAGACCGGGCTCCTGGGGGAGGGGTTTGGGGAGGGGGGAGCATCTCACACGCCGATGAACCCGAAAGGGGCTGCGGATTTCCCCAGACTTGTTTCGTTCGTCGAGTCTATGAAAAATGCGTTGAAGAGTCATGCTGTCGGAAGTCTGGGGGGGGGCCAGAGCCCGAGAGGGCTCCAGAGAGGGCGGCGCGCCCGCCGAGCTCCCCATGCGATTCCCGGGGCCCCGGAGGGGCTTTGGGAAGGGTTTCCAAGCAGCCACGGTCGGCGACGCGGCGCAGAGGGGGGTCATGTTGAGTCGGGCGTGCCCCTTGTCCAGGAGGAATATACAAACACTGCCAACAAAAAATGCCAGGGGACGTTTTTTGTTGTTGGTGTGTGTGTGTGTTAGAGAGTCTGTGTGTGTGTGTGGGTTCGAGTGTGTGTGTGTGTGTGTGTTAGAGTGTGTTAGATTGTGTGTGTGCGTGCGTGCGTGCGTGTGTGTGTGTGCGTGTGTGAATGTGTGAATGTGTGAATGTGTGAACGTGTGAATGTGTGCATGTGTGCATGTGTGAATGTATGAATGTGCGAATGTGTGAATGTGTGAATGTATGAATGTGTGAATGTGTGAAGGTGATAATGTGTGAATTTGTGAGTGTGTGAATGAGTGAATGCGTGAATGTGTGAATGTGTGAATGTGTGAATGTGTGCATGTGTGAATGTGTGCATGTGTGAATGTGTGAATTTGTGAATGTGTGAATGAGTGAATGCGTGAATGTGTGACTGTGTGAATGTGTGACTGTGTGAGTGTGTGAGTGTGTGAGTGTGTAAGTGTGTGTGTGTGTGAGTGTGTTTCCGACTACTGAACTTTTCGTATGAAATCCGCCTGTAGGGGGACATCCCCCAGCTAAGGGTAGGGGGAGGGGTGAAGGATTCTTAGAGGCACCCCTGCTTCTTAGAAGGCGCGGGCCTCGTCTATAGATGTAAGCCCGGGCCCTCCGAAGAAGCAGCCTCTTTCAGAGAAACCTTCCGCCCTCCCCCATACCCCCTTGTACGCGCCGCCAACAACCAGCTTAACATATTCACTCTGCACTGATGTGTCCCCCCATGCCGGAGGAAGGAGGAACGACGCCACCAGCCGGCCATCGCCGGCCAAAAGGTGCACAGTGGTTCTCTGAGCAGGACATGGGAGATGTCTCGACCATGGCACCCCTATCAAGGAAAGATCACACCACCAGGCGGACCCTCCTTGGCTCCTCGTGATTGTGTTGGTGGTGGTGGTGCCTCTCCTGGCCCCTGCCCTTCTTCATCGTTTCCCCCTCTTCGTGGTGCACGCGGCAACGGACTCCTCCCTGCTCCCGCTTGTGGGGCTGCACGGGGGTGCCGGGATGGAGGAGAGAACAGGCAGGGGGTTAGGAGGAGGAGGAGGAGGAGGAGGAAGAGGAGGAGAAGAGAATGGGGACGAGGAATTGGAGGTGGAGGCGGCGCTTGGGTGTAGTGTGCTCCAGAAGCCCTCGAACTGAGACCGTGATCCGACCTCGACGGCTTAGAGGACGGGTATGCGTTCGTGAGCTACGACGGTCTCGGGAACTTGGCTGACATCAACTCTACTTTGCGCGCGATGATGCAGCAGGGGGTGTACTGGTGGGTCGACGCTGACTTCGATGCAAGACACCTCAAGAGCAAGAGCACGCGCTCACTGTTCAGGGGCGGCGTACCGCTTGAACCACAAGTTATCACAGGGTCGCTAGTAGAGGTCGACGAAGACAATAAGAAGCATGCGTCCTGGCTGAGACAGCTCTTTGACAAACACCTCATCAGCGCGAACGACAAGTTCCAGCATATCACAGTCACGTGGCACGAGCCATCGCATTTGTCTTCCCACGAGGTGATTGCAATGTGCTGCCTCGTTGGTCTCCATCATCCTCGTACATGTCTGCCTTCCTTCTACTCCTCCCTCTTTCCCTCCCCCCCTCGTTTCCATCCTTTCTCGGCAGCTCTCCCGCCCCCACATCCTTTTCCTCCTTGCCTCGTCATCCGCCTTCCCCCCCATGTGCCCCTCTGCTTCCCTCGACCAGTCTCTCTGACTCTCCCACTTCTCCTCTCGTACTCCTCTTGTTCTCCGCCCCCCCCCATCCTTGCACCATTTCCGCCCGCGTCCTCTCCTCACTTCCTCCCCACCTCGCGCCCTCCCTTTGCTCCCTTTTCCTCTTCCCCCTTTTTCTTCCAGTTCCACGATCCTCTGCATTCACCATCCGATTCCCCTTCTCATCCTGCGTCGTCGTATCGTGGTGCGTATTACTCTGTTCGGGGCTTATTCCTTGGTTCACTAACCACCACCACCACCTCTTCTGCCAGCTTCGCACCATCATCATCCGACCCTTTCTGGTCACGAGAGCGGAGATTCGATACATCGCAAGGTGATTACTATCCAACTGCCTTCGGCAAATCCCGCGACGGTGCCAGTGTAACAATGCAGCAGGAAGGAGATTGAGCGCAGGAACAGCGCAGTTCCGACGAGCGGTCTGAACTGGGACGGGTCGTGCATGCGACCTCGCTTTCGTCTGCGTTTTAGGGGGAGATCGAGTTCACGCGCCGCTGCAGTTCAGCTCAGCGGGCGGTCTGAACTGAGGCGGGTCGTGAACTCGACCTCATCTTCGTCCGCTCGGTGAGGGAGATGAGGAGGAGGAGGAGGAGGGGGATAAGGATGAGGATGAGGATGATGCTGATGCCGATGATGAGGATGGTTATGCTGCTGCTGCTGATGATGATGCTTGTGATGGTGATGATGATGATGATGCTGCTGTTGATAATGATGATGATGACGATGATGCTTATGATGCTGACGATGATGATGATGATAATGATGATGATGATGATGATGATGATGGTGGTGGTGGTGGTGATGATGATGTTTATGATGATGCTGGTGCTGATGATGCAGATGATGATGCTGATGCTGTTGATGATGGTGGTGGTGGTGATGATGATGATTATGATGATGATTATGATGGTGATGGTGATGATGAGGAGGATGATGATTATGATGGTGATGAGGAGGATTATGATAAGGACGAGGGTGATAATGACGACGATGAGGCTGCTGCTGATGCTGACGAGGAGGATGGTGATGAGGAGGAGGATGGCGACGATGGTGACGATGCCGACGATGACGATGACGACGAATGATGAGGAGGAGAAGGAGGAGGAGGAGGAGGAGGAGGAGGATGGAGAAAACAAAGACAACGAGGAGAAGGCCTCTTAGGGGCTCTCTGGGGGCCTCCTGGGAGCCTGATCGGGGCCTCTTTGGGGGCTGTTGTGGGCCTCTTGGGGGCCGGTCGGTGATTCGTGGGGCCGTCTTGGGCCGCCTAAGGAAGCTCTTGGCCAATCTGAAGCCCTCGGAGGCCGTCTTGGAGGCCTCTTTAGACCGTTTGGGTCCTTCTTGGAGCGCGTTTGGGCCGTCTTGGCGCCCTCTTGGGAGGCTGTTGATCGATCTTGGGTCCTCTTGGCAGACTTGGGGCCCTATTTGGGGTCGTCATGGACTATCGTTGAGCTATCTTGGAGGGTTATTTGGCGGTCTTTGGCGGTCGGAAACCCAGACAGGCGAGAACCTCAAAGTCCATATGTGTTCGCCTCCTCGGGGTTTCCTGGGGGGACTCTCGGAGCCCTCTAGGGGCCGTCTTGTGCCCTCTCGGGCCGTCTTGATGCCGTCTTGGGAGCCTCTTGAGCCGTCAGGGGGCATGTGTGGCCGTCTGGATGTCATCTTGGCAGCCTTGGAAGCCGTCTTGCGGCTTCTTCTTTTTTCGGACCACACCCGATTCGAGGGGGGGGGAGGGGGGGGGCAGCAAACACAAACTAATCTTCCAGACACCAGCGAGCATCCTAACATGCCCACTCCGTCCAGGCACGGTGGCGGATATTGCTTCATGATGTCAGCTGGGCTCTGGGGTCGTTTATTTTTGTGGCTGTGTTTCTCGTCATCCAGACAAGGAGTCTTATCCTCGCTATGATGGCGATATCCAGCATTTGCATCAGCTTTACCACGGCATTCTACTTCTACGCAGTGGTCGCAGGCTTCCCGAGGATGTATCTTGTGAATCTGCAGGGTTTCGCCGCTTGCCGCCTGCCCCCTGGCCTGATTGATTGGCTGAGCGGCTTGTCGGTTGGTTGCTCGGCTGTTTGCTTGGCTGACTGGTTACTTGGCTGGCTGGCTGGCTGGCTGGTTATCCAGTTTGCCTGTTCGCTGACGGGTTATGCGCGCTGCCCCGAATTGCATTCCTTTTGCGGCGCGCTGCTGACGTGGAGAGGGTCACATCCCGCGCTACTCGCAGCTGTGTAAGAATGGGTCCGTCGCCAGGGCAGCCAGAGGCTGGGACCACACGGTGCGGGGACAGTGAATAGGAACGGCGCCCGACGACCCGATATTACATGGTCCCGGGACACTAATTGCGTCTGGGGGTTGTCCCGGACGATTTTAGAATTCACACCTTGGCTATGTAAAATTGCGTTTTGCGCGCGTTCGTGATGATGTATCATATCAGCGTTAGCCAGCAAGAACCTCAATCGGTGTGCTTTCAGCCGTCGATGTGTTGCAATCTGGGAGGAGCAATCTGTATAGCTCAATCTTCGTGGTGCAACTGATGTTGTGCAATCTGCCGTGTGCAACATATGACTGGTTTCTTTCAAGAAATGCGGTGCTATGCAGATGGTGCAACCTAGTTGGTGCAATCTAAATATGTGGTGCAATGAAATGCACAGCAATGCAAAGCAATGCAACGCAATGCAACGCAATTCAACGCAATGCAATGCAATGCCATGCAAAGCAATGCAATGCAAAGCAATGCAGCACAATGCAGCGCAATGCAGCGCAATGCAATGCACTGCAGCGCAACGCAATGCAACGCAATGCAATACAACGCACTGCAATGCAACGTAATGCAAAGGTATGCCAACACATGCAACGCAATGCAAAGCACTGCAATGCAAAACAAAGCAATGCAAAGCCAGGCAACGCACCGCACTGTAAAGCAATGCGAAGCAATGCAAAGGGCGACGAGCGGCGACGAGGCGGCGACGTGGCGGCGACGGCGACAACGTAGAGCCAGACGACGGGCGGCGACGAGGCGGCGACGGGGCGGCGACGGCGGCCACTTAGTCGTCAGACCCACAGTCAGGCCCAGACGACGGGCGGCGACGAGGCGGCGACGGGGCGGCGACGGCGGCCACACAGCCGCCAGACCGACCGTCAGGCTCACTTTCTTTGGAAAAGAGGTGATCCACATCCTTCAATAAGCACCCCCCCTCGTGCCAACCTGTCCGACGCCCCTTTGCCCGCCCCCCCTACGCGCCCCAAACCCGCGCCCTCTCGCTCCCCAACCTCCCCCACGCCCCCCGAGGGACAGCGGCTCCACCCCTCCCACGCGATCTTCCCCCCCCCCCCCGACGCTTTTTTTGAGAGACCTGGAGCAAGAGCTTCTGCGTGCGAGCAGGCAGGCTGGGCCTGAGTGGGCCCCGGAAACGGCAGGGCCGTTTTTTTCACCGCTTCCGAAAAAGCGTCCCTTGAAAATGGAAACGGCAAAAAAAACGGCCACCGGAAACGTCCACAAGAACGGCTCCAGGACTGGAACCGGAGCGGGAGCCCGTAAAAACACGGCGCCGGAGCCGGTAACAAAAACGGCGTCGGAGCTGGCCACAAGAACGGCAGAACGGACCCGGTAGCAGAAAAGGCCCTGTCGTGGCCAGGGCCCGCTGTAAGGAGCAAGCGCTTCTGCGTGCGAGCAGGCAGGCTGAGGCGCGAGGCAGCGGGTGGAGCATCGGGCGGGTGGTAGAGGCGGAGGGGGAGGAGGAGGAGGAGGGGGAGGGGGAGGAGGAGGAGGAGGAGGAGGAGGAGGAGGAGGAGGAGGAGGAGGAGGAGGAGGAGGGAGGAGGAGGGAGGAGGAGCAGGCAGGCTGGGCAGCGGTGCTGTGCAGCGAGGGCGGCGAGGCGCCGGGGAGCGCTGCGGCGGGGCGGCGTGCCGAGAGCGCGCGCGGGCCCCGCAGCCGGGGGGGCGGCAGGCGGGGGGGCCCTCGCCTGCCACGTCCGCGGCCCGCCCGGCGCGCGCGCGCGCCGCGCCAGAGGTCCTCCCTGCCCTGGGGAAGTTTTTGGTGTCCACCAGCAGGGGTGGGCCTGTCTTCCACCACCGGCGCCAGGAGTGGGAGAGGGAGGGGGTCCTCCTCCTCCTCCTCCTCCTCCTCCTCCCCCTCCTCCTCCTCCTCCTCCTCCTCCTGTTCGTCCCTCCTCTCCTCCTCCTCCCCTCTGTCCCCCCTCCTCCTCTTCGTCCCCCTCCTCCTCCCCCCCTCCCCTACTCCCCCTCCCCCTCCTCCTCCTCCTCCTCCTCCTCCTCCTCGTCCTCCTCCTCCTCCTCCTCCTCCTTCCCCCCTCCAACTTGTGGTGGTGGTGGTGGAAAGCAGGACCATCAAACGGTGAGTGCGCACGGCAGGTTCGCGTCGCGTCGACCGGCGGCGACCCCGCCAGCGGCGTTCATCGTTGAACGCCGCAGGCGACCCCGAAAACCGTGCGCTGCGGGACGATTTTAGGACGCTGCTGACGCGGCCGACCGTCCCAGGCGGAAGGACCCCCGCTGTGTTGGAAACCGGCGCCGAAGTCGGCACAGCACGAACCTGACGTACGGGATCTCATCATGCTCATCAAAGAGGCAAAAAGTTCAGGAGGGAAAGAATCACACGGACTCAATGAATCGCCGATTCCCCGGAAGATGTGGGAACATGCGGGCAGGGCGGGGAAGACAGAAGCCCTTGAAGATGCGGGAACATCTGGGGCATCCTGTTATTTGTGTGTATCCGCTTGTGTGTCCCAGGGCCCCTTTCACAGTCAAAGAGGCAACGTGGCCGGCGTGGTTCCCGGGCTTCGCCCCGGGCCCGCCCCGCGGCCGCCTCGTGGGCGCCCTCTGCGTCGGCCGGCGTTCCTCGTGGGTCTCAGGTCGGGCCTGTCCCGCTACAGGGGGGAGATTCAAAAATAGTCAAACAATAGGCGGGGGAGGTTTTTTTTTTGTGTGTGTGACAATGTTTGAATATTTCAGGGTATTGTTGGAATGCTTTTCATTTTCCGTCCAAAATCCTCTACAGGAGGAACATTCAAACATAGCCAAACAACAGTATGGGGAGTTGTTTGTTTTTTGTTTGTGTGTGTGTTTGTGTGTGTGTGTGAGTGTGTGTGTGTGAGTGTGTGAGAGAGAGAGAGAGAGAGAGATTTTGTTTTTGCAAATTTTAGGGTGTGTTTTGACTATGTTTGATTTCTCGTCCTGACCCCCGCTGTAGGGGGACAGGCCCGACCTGACGTTGGTCGCCCCCCCCCCCGCGCCCGCCCGTGGGCATCCCCATGGGCGCCCCCTCTGCCAGGGTTGGCATATGCCGAGGTGGTCGTGAAGTGTGTAAGTCGGGGGTGCCCCTCTACAGGGGGAATATTCAAAAACAGTCAAAAATCAGTCTGGGCTCGATTTGTCGATTATTTTTTGAATCTGTTTTGAATAGTTTTCATTTTTCCTCCAAAATCCCGCTCTAGGGGGACAGGCCCGACCTGACGTTGGTCGCCCCCCGCGCCCGCCGGAGGGCACCCCTTGGGCGCCCCCTCTGCCGGGGTTGGCATGTGCCGAGGTGTTCGTGAAGTGTGTAGGTCGGGGGTGCCCCTCTACAGGGGGGGTATTCTCGGAGGTTGATAGACCTTCTACCCTGACACGTCGATTGAGGAATTAGCAGTTTTCGGTTCGCGAGAGGGCGTCGCGGCCGTCATTTTTGCGGGTCCAGGTCCGTCGGCTTCGGTCCCAGGCCGTTTTCACTGAGGGGAGGTTTACTAAAGGGAGGTTTGTCCACCGCCGATCTTCAAAAATAGTCTTAAGTCGGGCCTGTCCCTCTACAGGGGGAATATTCAGAAACAGTCAAACATAGTCTGGGGGCTATTTTTTGCGTATGTTTGGGCATCTGTAGGGGGACAGGCCCGACCTAAAAATAGTCACACATTAGTCTGGGTTCGATTTGTCGCCTATTCTTAATTATTTTGGCGTATTGTTCTTGCTTTTCTAAACTTGCTCGTCCAAGATCCGCCTGTAGGAAGACACGCCCGACCTAACGTGAAATGCCCGCCCGTGGGCCTTTCCTGGGCGCCCCAGGCATCTGCGGGCATTTCCAGATTTTCGCGCAGTACCCGTCCATGGGCGTTTCGGGACGTACCTTGCGGTGGCTCGCGTGCGGTGGTGCAGACGTAGCCTGGCGCAGGTTGCACGCCACACGCTGCGCCACATAGCTGGTCCAGCATAGCTTGCACCAACTATAATGAACCACATATCTCGCGCTGGCAGCGTTGACTGCCCCTCTAGCTTGCAGCGCACAACTGGTACCCCCTGTATTGCTCTCCATCGCTCGCACCACGTTGAGCGAACATCGAGAATGCAATAGCAACAAGCTGGGGCCCGCGCTGGTAAACTTAACGAATTGATGGTGTGAGTAGCACTCGAATGCGTTCGATAATTTTTGAAACAATCACCACTTCAAAGCGCCACGCCACAGCGAGCTGCTACGATTTTCATTACCCAAGTGTAGAGTACCGCAAGCTCCATTGTTCCAGTTGCCGACGCGTGATCCGCACAGCCTGGAGGCCTCTAGCGGGTGAGCGGGCGGATTTCATGTCCCTCTTTCTTGTCGTGGGAATATCTGCCGACAATATGTTGATCCTGTCTCAGACGTTCGCGCTGGCGCGGGCTCGGACTTCTTTGCGAGACCTCGGTCCAGAGGAACACATGCGGTGGGCGTACTACAGGGCTGGCAGCGCAACACTCTTCACCACGGCCACCACCTGCACCTCGTTCTTCTCGCTGCTGCTGTCGTCGATGCCCGTCCTGCGCGGCTTCGGTTTCTACATGGGCACCGTCGTGGCCTTGAACTATGTGAACGCCATGGTCATCTTCGCGGCCGTGCTCGTCCTCAGAGATCGGTATGGCACCTGCGCCTGCTGCCGCTCACCAGTGCACGCGGCAGAGAGTCTCGAGGGCGGCATGCCCCCGGCTTCTCCTCGAGACTCTGCCGTGCCTTCCCTCGGGGGCGGCGCCGCCCGCTCGCCCCCGAGACGACTGTCCCAGGACCGGCATGGGCGGGTGGAACAAAAATCACCTCTTGGGACGGACGGGTGGCAGCGGCAGGAGGAGCGTCAGGAGGAGGAGGAGGAGGAGGACGTGAATTGGGAGGGAGAAGAGGAGGAGGAGGGGGAGGAGGAGGAGGAGGAGGAGGAGGAGGAGGAGGAGGAGGAGGAGGAGGAGGAGGAGAGGAGGAGGAGGAGGAGGAGGGAGGAGAGGAGGAGGAGGGAGGAGGAGGGAGGCAGGAGGAGGAGGAGGAGGAGGAGAGAGGGGGAGGGGAGGGAGGAGAGGAGGAGGAGGAGGGGAGGAGGAGGAGGAGGAGGAGGAGGAGGAGGAGAGGAGGAGGAGGAGGAGGAGGAGGAGGGGGAGGAGGGGGGAGGGGGGAGGGGGAGGGGAGGGAGGAGGAGGGGAGGAGGAGGAGGGAGGAGGAGGAGGAGGGAGAGGAGGGAGGAGAGGGAGCGGAGGAGGAGGAGGAGGAGGAGGAGGAGGAGGAGCAGGGAAGAGGAGCAGGGCCCTCCCTGCTCCTTGTCCTCCCCCCCCCCCTCTCCCTCCTCTTGCTCCCCTCTCCCCCCTCCCCCCCCCCTCCTCTTGCTCCCCCCCTCTCTCTCCCCCCCCTACGCTTGCTCCTCTTGCTCCCCTCTTCCCCCCCCCCTCCTCTTGCTCCCTCCCTCCTCCTCTTGCTCCCCCACTGTCCCCCCTGTCCTTCCCCCTCGTCTCCAGCCTCCCGTGGGGCCCCGCGGCCGCCGCGGGCCGCAGCGGGAGCGCGCCGCGCTGCCAGGAGGAGCGCGCGACGACGACGACGACGACGACGACGACGATCTCGACCACGACGACGACCACGACGACCACGACGACGACCACGACGACGACGATCACGACCACGACGACGGCGACGATCACGACGACGACGACGGTCACGATCACGACGACGACGACGATCTCGACGACGACGGCGACGACTACGATCACAACGACGACGACGATCACGACGACGGCGACGATCACGACGACGACGATCGTGACGACGACGATGACGATCACGATCACGACGACGACAACGATCACGACGACAACGACGACGACGACTACGATCACGACGACGACGACGATCATGACGACGACGATCACGATCATGACGACGACGACGAGCACGACGACGACGACGTCGACGACGACGATCAATATCACGACGGCGACGACGATCACGACGACGATCACGATCACGACGACGACAACGACGATCATGACGGCGACGACGATCATGGCGACGACGATCACGAAGACGATCACGACCACGACGACGACGATCACGACCACGACGACGACGACGATCACGACGACGACGACGACGTGGACGACGACGACGACGATCACGATCACGACGACGACGACGATCACGACGATGATGACGATCACGACGACGGCCACAACGACGATCATGATGGCGACGACGATCATGACGACGACGAGCACGACGACGACCACGATCACGATCACGACGACGACGATCACGCCGACGATGGCGATGACGATCACGACGACGAAGATCATGACGACGACGACGGTCACGATCACGACGACGATGCCGATCACGACGACGACTACGATCACGCTCACGACAACGACCACGACGACGACGAGGACGATCACGACGACCACGACGACAACGACGACGACCATGATCACGATCTTGACGACGACGACGACTACGATCACGATCACGACGACGACAATTACGATTACAAGGACGACGATCACGATCATGACGACGACGATCATGCCGACGACGATCACGATCACGACGACGACGACGATCGCGACGATGACGATGACGATCACGATCACGACGACGACAACGATCACGACGACGACGACTACGATCACGACGACGACGATCATGACGACGACGATCCCGATCACAATGACGACGACGACGGCGACAACGACGACGAAAACGCCCACGATCACGCGACGACGACGATAACGACCACGACCACGATCACGACGACGACGGTGAATACGATCATGATGGCCACGACGATCACGATCACGATCACGGTCACGATCACGATCAGGACGACGACGACGATCATGGCGACGACGACGGCGACGATGACGATAACGATCACGACGACGACGACGATCATGGCGACGACGATCACCTCACGACGACGATCACGATCCCGACGACGACGACGATCATGACGACGACGACGATCACGATCACGACGACGACGCCGATCACGACGACGACGATGACGATCACGATCACGATCACGACGACGACGACGACAACGCCGACGACGATCACGACGACAAAGATGACGATCACGATCACGACGACGTCTACGACGACGATCATTTCGACGATGCCGATCACGACGACGACGACGACGACGATCACGATCACGACGACGACGACGATCCGACGACGTCGATCACGATCACGACGACGACGACGATCACGACGACGACGGCGGTGATTACGCTGACGATCACGACGACGACGACGATCATGACGGCGACGACGACGATCGCGATCACGACACCGACGACGATGGCGACGACGACGATCACGACGACGACGGCGACGACTACGACGACGATCACGACGACGACGATCATGACGACGACGATGTCGATCACGACGACGACGACGACGATAACACGACGACAACGACGCTCACGATCATGACGACGACGACGATGACGATCACGACGACGAAAATCACGACGACGCTGATGATCACGATCACGCCGACGATCATGACGACGATCACCTTACGACGATTATCAGGATCACGACGACGACGATCACGACGACGACGACGATCACGATCATGACGACGACGATCACGATTACGACGACGACCACGATCATGACGACGACGATCACGATCACGACGACGACGACGATCACGACGGCGACGATCACGACGAGGACAACGACGATTACGATCACGACGACGACGATCACGACGACGACGACGACCACAATCACGACGACGACGACGATCACGATCACGGCAACGACGACGATCACGACGACGACAATGATCACGATCACGACTACGACGACGACGACGGCGACGACGATCACGACGATAACAACGAGAACGACGACGACGATGACGATTTTTCCGACGACGGCGACGATCACGATCACGGCGACGACTATCACTATCATGACGACGACGAGCACGATGACGATCCCGACGACGACGACCACGACGGCGATGGCGATCACGATCACGACGACGACCACGACAATCACGATCATGATCACGACGGCGGCGATCACGATCACGACCACGATTACGACGACGACGATCACGATCCCGACGACGACGATCACGACGACGACGACTATCACGATCACGACGACGACGATGACGATCACGATCACGACGACGACGACGATCACGACGACGACGGCGACGACCACGACAACGAGGACGACTACGATCACGATCACGACGACGACGACGATCACGATCTCGATCACGACGACAACGACGATCACATGACGATCACGACGACGACGACGACGATGATGACGATCACGACGACGACGACGGGATCGCTGCAATCGCTTGCCGACGTCATAAGAGGGTGGCGGCTTTCAGACTGGTCGCTAAATGCTCTCATGCCGCTAGTCGCCGAGCGTCTGGTGCATGCCTGCAAGGTGCCCTACAATTGACCGACCAGGCAACTACGCAGATCGATTGGCATGGGGGGCATCGCGTCCCCTCTCATGTGGTTCATGGCGTGTGACCCCATCCTTGAGGCAGTGGCGGCCGCCACTGGCGACAGGTGTCCGACCTGCGTCGGCGACCTCGTCGCCTTTGGTACAGGCCGCGCCCCAAGCATTGAGGGCGGCCACTCTGCTACTCCAGATTTCGTAATAGAGGGAGGGGGGTCTCACTCCGGGGGGGGGCCTCTTCCAGGCTGACTTGGAGGGCCTGGGGGGGTCTGGGGACGATGTTCTGGAGGGTTCTCCCACGGGGGGGGGGGAGGAAAGTTTTTAGAGCGGGCCGGGCGTTTCGCAGGAGACTCCTTCACCGTCTATGACCCTGAAGCTCAAAAATTGACATCAGTTTCACAAATGGAGGGCGGGTCGTTTTCAAAATGTGGCTCTCGCCTAAGCGCTGCGTAAATCCGCCGGCCCTGTCGGCGTGTGTGAGGGGCTCTAAAACTTCTCGTCTGGGAGGGCTGAGACCCCCTCCCTTTCTATTACGAACTCTGGAGTGCCCTGGGCATCCGAGGCGGCCGGCTCACTGGCGGCGCACGCCCGCCGCGGCCCAGTCCTGACACGCCTCCGCCGACAGCCGACCCGCTTCCCATCGACGCCCCTGGTAGAGATGCGGAGGGTCAGAGTGGACAACTCAAAATATGATCCGCCCGAGAAAGGCTAAGCCGTCCAAACAACTGCTCACGCCCTCACCAGACAACTTGAAAATAACAAAGCCACAGCCTAGCGATGATTGCACAGGTGGTAAAATAAACCAATCAGCGGCTGCAAACGCACTGCGGCTAGGCAGCCCACCACAGATCGAAAAACACCAGAGAAAACCCCAATCAGTGGATCATGATTAGTGGACGGGGACTGCGCTCTGATAAGTGGCCGCCCTCCCAATCTCACGCGACGAATCATCCCCTCCCAGCCAGGTTCCTGCGCCGCCCGCGGATCGTGGACCTGGCGGAGGCCTTGCGCGTGCGCTTTCCAGTCGGCCCTTCTTCCAGGTGCCGGCCCGGGGTGGTGGAAGCGGGTCGCGGATTTGTCCCTCTTCGCGAGCTCCTCCGCCAGGGACAAATGGCCCTACCTTGGAGTCACGGTTGCAGCTCGCAATGCCGGGCCGAATTCCACAGCTGGGGCAAGGATGACCCTGGAGCAAACAGAGGCAGCCCTGGCTGGACCATGGCGGAAGGCCTTGGGCAAAATGCGACTCCGCGCCATCAGACTACGCGACGCCTGGGCCTCTCCCGGGACATGGGCCGCGGCGCGGAACGC